AAAACCACAGTTCCTCCGCTGCAAATCCTCAAGTCTCCGTCGGGCTGGAGGTGACCGTCCCTGGGAGTTCATCCGTCTGATCGCTGTGGTCAGTGGGGCTGGCGGCCAGGCACAGGTCGGGGAGGTCAAAGTCGACTTTCTCCTTGCCAACCAGCCAATAGGTCGTCATGGGAGCTTTCCCCTGTAAAAGTACACGCCACACTGTCACTGTGAATCGTGGCTAAGTGCTAAACATGAGTAAGAGAGAAGAAAAAGAGGAAAAAACAAAAGAAACAAAACAGAACAAGTTGCCTCCGGATATTGGCTTCAACCAGGAACAACGCGTGGTCATGAATAGGTGGCTGTATCCACCGCAGCCACTTCGCATAGACACCCACGTTAACTCCTCGCAGCAGTTGAACCTGTGGGCGTAGTCTCCGCTACGCAAGGGAAGAACGGGGAGAGAGGAAAGCTCCTCCAGACGTCTATAACCAACTGCCGTGCATCTTGTATATAGGAGTCCGATGCCTTGGTCATGGTGTGTGTGTGTATACTGACATGGCGTGCCCGTAGCTTGAGCACTTACCAAGGTATATATTTATGGTAAAGGTGTTGCTGGAAAGCTTCAAGAATGGTCCATGTCATTTTCGCGGGTGTGATGGGGAGATACACTCTTTGAATATGTCACTTTTCATACTTCCATGTAACGTTACGAATAGACCACTCTCATTTTGCCTACAATTTGTATGGGCGGCTAAAGTTAGCGTAAATATTACCTTTTGGTTGGTTTTCGATTTAACTTCAAATTCGTTCAAAACGGACATTTTGTTCCATTGAATAGGATTGAATTTTCATTTAATATTTAGTCGCACATGTATTATTATCTGGTTTTCTGACAGCTGCGTGGGATTTTCAATACTTTTTGAATCATTCCTTTACTTTCGTGCCTACGGCCAACCATAGTTTCAGAAGTCACTTGCATGAAAATAAAACACGGCTTTGACGTCAAAAGAGCACATCCTAGCGTGCTACTCGCAATGAAATGAAATTGTACAAACACTTTAAAACCACACACATGCCAGATGGACAGTGCAATGTGTACAGACCCTATAAAGGGGCTTTGAGTCCAGACAGGCGGCGCAAATGATGACAGTACCTACGGTATGAACTAAGGTGCATTTGTTTATCAAAGAGTGCAACCTACCTTTGAACATGAATGCAGCACACGTCAGCCGACAACGGATAGAATTTTTATTGTATCCCGAGTATTCGAGACCAGCATGCCAATGTAGACCGATTTCACATCCTTGGTTATCAGCAGCCAAATATACGGCACACTTTGTGCCCCAGCTGACACCCAGTATGCTGACACCGAGCATGATACTTGCGCCCCACTGGACACTGAGTGTAATACATTATCACGCTCAGTGTCCAGTGGGGCGCAAAGGGGGCCGTGTACAACTTGCATGGATGATGTCTGACCATTATCGACAGAGGCCTCGGGCACTTTATTACCATGCAGGCCCGAAGCAAGTCAAGAATCAACCATTGTACAACCCACGGTCCTTGACTTAACTTGCTCGGGTAGCATTTGATCTCTCTGTGCCCACCTTGACAGTAATCTCTCCACGCAGCTCGATCTTGAAACCTCCGATCTGACTGAGGACTTCACACGTGGCAGAGCTGATGTGGATCCGCAAAGCTGACAACAGATAGATGAAAGAGGAAGTAAACGTATATGCCGTCCTGGGGGCCTTTGGAATAATTTCCAGCTAAATCAAATCCTGAATTGAATAATATAATTTTACAAATTCGTTCACTGGAACAGCAAGTATTCTACGTATTTTTTGCCATTTGGATTCATGACCCTCTGTCAATAAGGATCATGATCGTCGTAGGCGTACGAGATGATGAAATGCAGGTCTCGTTAACAAATTATAACAAGAATCCTACCAACGATTTATCTTTATTAAAAAGTGAAAGCACAAAGTCACGCATCTTTTAGTTACCGTCAAACGTTTGAAAAACAGTTATTAGTTAGTTATTAAACATTTGACGGACCAACCCCATAACATTTATCATATTTACCTAGCCCATTAGACTCCATACGAGAGGCAGTGTTGACGGTGTCCCCGAAGAGACAAAAGCGGGGCATCTTTAGCCCCACTACTCCAGCCACCACCGGGCCTGAAGGATATCAACAAATACTTATAATGTCACATTTAGCTCCATGAACCACCGGGATATTTTCCCAGGTTATTGTTTTAATTAAGAAAATGCAGATATGAAGCAAAATTTACAAGAAACATTCTGATTGCAACTCTGCAGTCCCGGTTCGAATCCCGGATCGATCCACATGTGGGTTGGTTTTCCGTCCCTACCTTATTCCGTGGGTTTTACCCATACATTCCTCTGGGATTTTCCCCCACCTCTAAAATTAACTGCTTCTCATTGTCTCCACTCTACAGGTTTCCTCAGCCTTGCGGACTACAGTGCTTGGGGAGCTTTTGAGGATTGCTTGGTGTCATTACCAGAAGTGATTTATAATAATAATAATCTCCGTTTATGGTAACAAAGACATTTTTTCAGCTGTGCAGAGTGTCTTTCCATGCTACACTCACCAGTGTGTATGCCTGTTCGAAGTTGGAGTTGTTCGGTCGGCCGATGTCTGATCTTGAATGATTTCACTGAGCTTAGCAGGTCCAGCGCCAGACTACTAATCTCGGCCGCGTGTCTGTTTCCGTTACGCTCTGGCACGCCAGACGCAACCATGTAGGCATCGCCTATGGTCTCCACCTGCAGATAGAATTCAGAGCAGCATAGATGGAATCCATTGACGTTTTTACTGGCATTAGTGATGGCCCCCTCGAATGGCGATTAACATTGTGTTGGATTTTGTATGGAGGGGCTCGTAACGGAATAGTGGTTCCGTACAATGCTTACCGCCATTAAAGGGGGTCACTGTAAATAACCATGATAGGCAACAGACTGATGCACAAAGCCACGCCCCCTGTTGTTTTGGCCATTCACACTCATTTACTGCGCGGGGAAATGTCTGGCAACATCCCAACATGCATACCAGTTTATACACCTAAGATGCGCGCATCCGGACGATGCAGTGTGACACTGGTGATGATAAGTCTCTATGTAGGCATCGTGCGCAGTTGGGGAGGGGGCCTTGATGAATCGTTCCATCCTCTCTCGATTATTTTTCTGTCCTTGGAAGAATCGGTATCCACCATCTCGTTCGTGCACATCCCGATTTATTATTTTAGGAAGTTTTCCATTGTAAAACAGTCGAGTCGATTCACATATCTCCTCAAACGAGGAAAGGGAAGAACATTGGCAAAGGCATGTCTATTGTCACAGAACATTAGAATAGCCGGCTGTGCGACTTCTTACCGGATAACTGTGGACTTATACGGTGTTACAAGGGTCTCTGGTGGACAGCGGAAGTATCTGTTTTCCACTCGATTCCGTCGATGTTATGCCGCCCATCAGTTGATAATTGTCAAGAATTCCTCTCTTAAAATTTAGCAACTTATTTTTGTATCACTATACTCACCTTGTAGATGTCGTAGTTATCGATCGTATCGTCAAAAAGCGTGTACAAGTCATTTAACAGTTCCACAACCTGTCAACAAAGTGATAATTAAATGTATTTATACATGCGACATACCAGATTGGTAGATATATGAATAAACCTGACTGATCAAGTTTTATTTCCGTTGATTGGTGGGTTACTCGTGAATCCCATGCAAACGCACACCTATCACAGTGACAGAGAATCATATGGCTTGCAATTAAATAACCTTGATATCGCTAAACCGGCGCGAACGTAAATACGCAATACGCAGGTGTAAGGCACCTTTCCATACGTGTCCGTACGTTTTTTGGATGCGTAGCGTACACGATGCGTTCATGTGTTTCACTTTCACGAACACAGAAATTGATCCATTAACATGACACACGTGTGCGTTGCGTGCGCCGTCAAAATCGTTCTAGGAGCGATTTTGATGCACACAAAACGCTTAGCGCAAGTGTTGACGGGCATATCAAAAGGCGCCTGTACTTTGCCTGTGACGAAATGTGTCTCAAACACTTGGATTCTTTTATAAGCGGTCATACTACACAGCACCATCTGCTGTCCCGGCCGGGTCTTCTTGGGAAGAATTTCATCGTTTACAAAAGAAAACCTGGTTCATGTGGTGACGCCCCCGTGTGCAATGACTCCGGCCCATCGCGGACGGAGGTGCGTACCTGGAAAGGTGTGCTCTCTGAAGCTAGCCGAGTGAATCCCACGATGTCGCTGAAATAAACAGTGACCTGCTCGTACTGCTCGGCCGTGACCACGTCACCGCGTTTCAGCTGAGCTGCCACGGACCTAAAATACATAACCAACGATTACGTAAAACCGGTGGCCCACATGAATCCTTGAGAGTCGTCTGTGCTTGAGAAATGAGGACTTTCTTTTTGTACGATGAGATTACGACGCAAAACAAATGAAATGTCTGTATGATTTGGTGAAGCTTTGTTGAGGACGACCACTGATGCTCGTAGGCACTAAATAACAAAACTGAATTATGTCACGCACAAGCGTTGCATCTAGCCAGTCTAGAATTAGATTGGTAACTATTCCTCAAACCATCATGACTTGCAAATAACACTTTAATTAAAAAAAAATTAAGCTGCACTGCTGTGTACCATATTAATAGTGTAGGTAGTCAGTAACGTATGCGGGGGAGGGGGCAAGTCCCCCCCACACACCTTTTTTTTTCTTTGTACAAATAAAACTTCCTAAGGGAGTAGGAAAGAAGGAATCGGTATATTCATTTATCATACAGTATTACCAAAACCCTATTTGATTATTCTCCTCCACCAACATCATGTTGAATGTGTCCAAAGCCACACTCGCTTTTGAATGTGTCCCCCCACCATACAAAAAGCTGGATACGTAACTGTAGGTAGTTCTGATGTTTCCATAAGCATGTACAGAACGCAGTGTCTGATCATGTTCGTGCAGGTGTTTTGAGGAGCTTGTACCATTGACATTCGTCGCTATGAATTTTTCAAGACACTAAAGCTACGACTAAGACTTTTCTGCCATAGTTGTGGCATTCAGAGCATTAAAAAGGATCAAGTGCAGCTGAGGGTGGACCAAAGACATACTGATTTTAGCGAATGTTTCTGAAATCTCTCATCATCGTGGTATTTTGTGTTCTAACACCGAGAGCAATTACTCTATTTTTAAAACAAAGTCTGCTATAATGCACACCTGTCCGATTATTGGTACCGTACCTTGGTAACATCTGATGCAGCAGCTGGTCTGTTTTCTTCTTTTCCTCTTCGAGTTGTTGGGTTCTCTCGTTTACCAGTTCCTCCAAGTGGTCTGCGTATTTTTCCATCATCCCGATCATGTTGTCAACTAGATTCTGCGCTCTTGGTGGAACAAAGAAACAGAGAACTGATACACCCAGGTTTTAGTAAGATTCGGATGTAACCTGCGCCAACTCTTGCCCTTGGGTAAACTCGAGTTTGATCTGTACAAGAGTACTACTCTTTCCTTCAAAAGTTTTCCATTTATACGTTANCTGTATGTTCATTTATCATACAGTATCACCAAAACCTTAATAAATAACACGATTTGATTATTTTCCTCCGCCAATATGATGTTGAATGTGTCCAAAGCCAAACTCGCTTTTGAATGTGCCCCTCATACAAAAAGCTGGATACGTAACTGTAGGTAGTTTTGATGTTTTCATGAACACGTACAGAACGCAGTGTCTGATCATGTTCGTGGAGGTGTTTTGAGGAGCTTGTCCCACTGCCATTCGTCGGTATGAATTTTTCAAGACTCTAAAGCTCCGACTACGACTTTTCTGCCGTTGTTGTGGCATCCAGAGCATTAAAAAAGGTCAAGTGCAGCTGATGGTGGACCAAAGGCATACTGATTTTAGCGAATGTTTCTGAAATCTCTCATCATCGTGGTATTTTGCGTTCTAACACCGAGAGCAATTACTCTTTTTTTGAAAACAAAGTCTGCTACAATGCACACCTGTCCGATTATTGGTACCGTACCTTGGTAACATCTGATGCAGCAGCTGGTCTGTCTTCTTCTTTTCCTCTTCGAGTTGTTGGGTTCTCTCGTTTACCAATTCCTCCAAGTGGTCTGCGTATTTTTCCATCATCCCGATCATATTGTCAACTAGATTCTGCGCTCTTGGTGGGACAAAGAAACAGAGAACTGATACACCCAGGTTTTAGTAAGATTCGGATGTAACCTGCACCAACTCTTGCCCTTGAGTAAAATCGAGTTTGATCTGTACAAAAGTACTACTCTTTCCTTCAAAAGTTTTCCATTTATACGTAATGCAAGGTTTGTGCACCAGTTCGGGCAATGGCCATCGGTGCGGACAAAAATCTCATTTCTAATGCAGAAGGTAAAGGCCCAATATAAGCATAGTTTAAAGAATTGGTATTTTCTGGTGATGTATAGATATTGAAATGATAATCATGGATAAAACCCATTGCCAATTCTGTCTTTCATCAGACAAGTCGGCCGAACAGGTCAATGGAAGGGTCAAAATTCTTTGTGTAAGGCCGTCTCAAACGGCCGGGACAAGAAAAGTTGGCGAAGAACTCACTTGCCGCCGGACAGTTTCTGGATGGACGACTTGACCCTGGAAATGTTGGGCCGATCAGTGGGTCTTTCGGCCCAACACAACTCCATCAGCTCAATCATCTGTGGAGAGCAGGCATCCTTGGGCAAGACGGGACGGAAGACCGGACGGGCACCCATCTTGACTGCCGTCACAATTTCTGCCGAGTAACCAAGCTTTCAGTAAAGGAGGAATTCACCTGGAAAGTTGCATTGCTCGTGATGGTGTCCTTTGCTGTTGTCGCCAAGTTTTTGTATCAATTGTTCTTAAAGCACATCTTCGTCAACGATTTTGTTGACTTTAAGTAAACATCAAGAGAAAATAAATATGTGAGTATGTCTCGAATGAAAATTAAATTACCTTGTTTCATTTATGACATACCTTTCGGCTCCAACGCTTGCGTGCAGTAAGGCCCACCCCTAATGACGATCTCCTGCAGAATGATTCCAAAGGAGTAAATGTCCCCCTCTGGTGTCCCGTACGGGCTAGGCGGAGGACACCTCAGCAGCTCGGGCGCTGTCCACAAAGAGGCTTCAAAAAGGGTTGAACCATTTGAAAGGAAGTAGTAAGAGTTATGGTTCACGCATAGCTCATATTCGGGAATCC